AAGAGGATGTTTACGAGTGAGTGATGGAGATGCGAGAGGTTTTATGCAACGATAAAGACAGGCTATCTAACGGGAAAGATGAGATTAGGACAGAGTAAAATGCTGTGAAGGACTGGAATGAGACCTACATATCTTTCCTTACTGCAGATACACGAAAAGATGGGAAACAGAGGGAGGTGGAGGTGGTGGTGGTGGAGGGAGGGACCGTGACCACATGAGACAGACGCACACAGATACCGGAGAGAATTGCATACCTGGCTGATTAGCAGGACGGCGCTAGAGTCTGATAAAGACATGAATGTGAATTTTCTCACTCTAACAACGATCCCTGTCTTCACTGGGAATGCTCACAAACACACACAGACATAAAAGCGGAATAAATATGGTGGTGGGCGCAGAGGAAAGGTGTTATGTCAGAGTGCCTTTTAATGATGTTAGAACACAGAGAGCTTTTTGTTAATAACGTTTAGACAGGGGAGCATGCACCTGTGCTGCACGCTCACTAACTTACCAACTGTTAAATTCTCCAAAGAGCAGCTTTACCACCAACGTCTTTTAGGTGAAGCTTGGCTGCATTGCAGAGTGTAACAATATAAGAACATCCTTATTGTGTTTTCTAAGGATGTCTTGTTTTTTGTTTCTGGTTTTTTGCTGCTAATGTCCCTGTCTGCAGACTAAATTTAACTCTGTTCCTTCCTACTCTGCTTCTGTGATTATTCTTCACACACTGCAACACTGATGGCCCCAACTCCACAGGGAGGGGCCAACAGGGAAGTGTGTCATCTAACTAGTCGAGTCCTCAGAGGGCCAAGTCATCCTACAGGCTAGGGACCGAACAACAGAGGATTTCCACACTAATTTGATTAGGCGGATTTCACTGATACTGTTCTGTTCTTTTCCCCCCTCCTTCTGATAAGACATGTAGAGATGTCTTTACTACTGGCTCAAGACTAATGAATTTCTTAGCCATGGTAGAGTAACTTTACAGAAGCACAACCCCATTAACAACAAGGAACAACTGATTATTGATTTATGATGTTGATAAATCTTATTAGATGAAAAATGTGGCTTTTGAGCTGCTAAATACGAGAAGGTGGCATAAACTCAGTTAATCTGATATTAGACATCATGTGTACATGTGTTGTGGTAACAAAGCAGAAGCTTTCTTTGGATTAAATTACATGTGGGTTCTTCCCTATGATGTGAGTCTTTAATATTATGTGTAGTAATTTGAGCTGCCATTAATACAAAAATTGGGTGTATATTTTACGCAAGTACCTCCAAAAATCAGAGTTATTGACTGTATTAACCCTATTAAAATTTTATATTTTACCCTTTTTCACCTTCATTGACATAATTTATTACTTGTTTACTTGTTCTCCCAAATTTGATTTCAATGTGAAAATCCAGTCGCTACATGAAGTTTAAGGTTTACAGGCAGCAAAACCTTGGGAAACTCACATGACCTTACCATTGAAAACAAAGACCAGTAAACACAAGCTCCAGCTGAGACTGATGTGAAGGTCTTTAGTTTTGAAGTGACTCTGTAATTAGTATTGGACAAACTGAAAGTTTGATCTCATTAAATGTATAATAGTGTCTCGTCATCCTCTTAAAGTCTGGGAAAAATCCATCCAATAGCTGTTGAGTAAATCCTGGCAATCAGCAGGCTGGCATCCATCCCTGCTGCCATGTGGCTAACACAGCAAAAAACAATGGATACCTGCCCTCTGTTTTGCTGACAATAGTATTTCACAGTATGCCATAGTGGTATTATTACTGCACAAGTGGGCTTTTACACGTTGGCTCATACTTCTGTCAGGAGTGTATACAATACTTAAAAAATGTAATTCCATTATTATTTAAAAAATTAAGCAAAAATAAAGCGAAACCACACAAAAAATTTTAAATGATCTCATTTTGCCTCTGTTAACAAAAATGACATTTGTGCCTGTTATGTTTTAAAAAAGAATCTGTTGGCCTTGACTAACACGATATCTTTGCCTCACCTGAAAAACTACAAAAAGCAGACACAACCTCTATTTTGATCACAACTCATTTTGAAGCTTCTCTGGTCTCTTTTCTTTATCCTCCATCTGTCCTTCCTGTTCTTGAATATAGTGACAGCTGTTAACAGACTGTTGTGCTACTGTGTAAACTGCTGTTCTTCAGTGTTCATATCATGCATAAAATGATGCCCTGCACATATTTACAGTGATGTTAAGTGAACAGAATTTGTTAATCAATACTTTAGATATTCTCTAAACATCTCATGTGATGGCAGTTGGTCCTGAAAGCTGTCATGCATGCACATACATAACTTTCCTCCTTAAAAAGAAACTGTGCAATTTAAGAATGTCTGTGTGTTTTCGCGTTTTTTGCAAGGCCACTATTAAACATAAAATCTCAAGTGAGCCCGAGGACCAGGGCTAATGCAAACCGAAGAAGCTGCTAAATAATCAAATTGAAACTTAATTTCAATGTCAAGATCAAGTCGTACATGGTGACAAACATGTTTTTTAGAACTGTGTCACGTTGTAACTCCAGTGTTTTCCCCAGGCTGAGATTTACAGTTTAACAGTTCTCCTTAAACGCCTCACTTGTTAACTCTGACATCATTAGCCATTTCAGGGCTCCAAATGCTCCTTCTGTTCCCAAAAGCAAACAAACACTGAGGCACCAATGAGGCTTAAGAATGGTCCAAATTCTTTCAGCTCTAATAAAATGATGAGTGTAGCTGTTTCAGGTGTTACTGTAAAGTTTAACTTGACAAAAACAGGACGTATGAGTTTAATCTAGCTAGCTGGAATCTAAAGATGATACACCGTGTTCTGACTGAAGGACTGGGCAATAAAGTGATAAAGATAGTTAATGCGAAATAGGTTTTCCGTGATATGAGACATAATTAAAGTCTATAGAACGTCTGTGTTTTGAAGGACAACACAAAAGGCCAATGATAATGAGAATAGTACTGTGCCAAATCAATCAGGTGGCTGGAACAGAGTTGGAGCCACATCAGGTTAGACTGAGGAGTCTAGGAGGCGTGGGCTACCACAGCTGTATACACCAGCACAACAACAGAAAATCAAGCAGTGCCATCCCTGCACAGCTGACAATTTACCTGCACAATGCAAGACTTTACAAGACTCTTTCTCCCGTAACATGCCTTATGACAAAAACGAAGAGACACAGATGTATCACAAATGCAAGCGCCTGTGTTATGGTAACACCTGATGTCAGTAAGTACAGTCAAAAACACAGAACTTTAGCAGCTGATTAATGTAACTGACCCTTGTTACTAACTCCCTGGCCATAAACACACTGAGTGTAGAGAGTGTCACACTTCTCTACCGCATCAGATTTCATCCGATCCGTGTATGAATCTCGCTGCCCACCTCACTGCGACTGTACTGCATTCCCTGGGCTGTAATTTTTTTTCCATTTATTTTTTGCTTTGGAGCATAAGCCAACCACAGTCGAGTGAATATGAGTTTTTTAAATGTTCTCCTTTGTTTACATTTTAGCGTTTCTTACATTTATACTAAGGATATTTAAACAGAATGCTTTGTTTGTTTTTTGTCTTATTTATGTTTTTGTTTCCAAACAATTTAAACCAGTTTGAATCTATACAAATTAAGAGGTTTTATTTAATAGTTTTAGCAGATTTAGATTTCATTTTGAATGAATCTCTATGTATTTATTTGGAATTGACAAATAAAATGTAGTTTTTCATTTTGATTTTATTTTTAAGTAACACTTTAAGCTTTTAACTCGTCAGATTAAAGATTTTAGTTTACTGTACATACCTAAAGACATATAATATTCTACAGCAGTGGCCCCCATGGACCGGTTTATGTCTGACAAAATTTTCATGGACCAGCCTTTAAGGTGTTGCGGATAAATACAACAAAATAAAAACCAGTACTGGTACCCCCCAAAAAAGAAGATTTATTCATAACACACGGGAAAAGACCCATGGAAACCATGTTAAAGATAAAAACGATAAAAGAAAATAACAGTAAAAACCAATAAAAACCCTGAAAACCATAAATTTCACACCCAAACCTCAACTTTTTTTTTTGGGATATTAAGAAAGTAAAAAAATATCACACTGCTTTAGACGTAAACAAAAACCTTAAACCACCAGTCACATTTAGAGGGTAATTTGGTTGGACTCTTTGTATAATGATATCCTACTTCGTCGCTAGCTACAGAGCTATGGTTAGGCCTATATAAACACATTAGCAAAGGAAGCTGTGGGATGACGGTTAAATGCTCTCAACAGAAGTACATATTGAGGGTCTTGAATTGAAAGAGGAAAATACCATCATATGGCAGGTAGAGCAGGGCGATATGACCAAAAATATTTATCACGATATACATTTGAAAATCTGCGATAACGATATAACTGACGATATAATTGACACTAGACAAAATACTTTACAACTCCTTAATTCATTAGTGCAAAAAAAAAAAAAAAAAACATCAACGTATTTTCACTTAAACAAACAGCTTTTTTGAAGTGCATTAAAATTATATAGCTTAGCAAAGTCGTACTGAAACATTTGACAGATTTTCGAGCGACCGTGTACCACATAAAATCGTTTCGAGGTCAGTAAACACAACCAGAATTCATACATAAGGCACACGGGATTATAAGGGGCACTGTCGATTTTCAGAAAAATCAAAGGATTGATTTTAAGTGTGCCGTATTTTCCAAAAAACACGGTAATAACGACGGCCCGCTAGCATGCGCTACCAAAAATAGTGCTTTGTGTATCTGACGGATGAAAGCTAAACCAGTGCCACACCACTGAAGTTGCAGCATTTTTACAAACCAATTCTGGTTCATCCGTTTCATTCAACGATCCACTTTCGCTCTTCTCATTCTGCGTCGCTGCCATGTGCGTATGTAAACAAAGGCACTACGCGTGCGCGTTTTACCCATATTCTATCGCGATATTTCATTTTCCTATCGTTGCCCAACGTGAACGGTATGATATAGCCCAGCCCTAATGGCAGGTATAAGACACAGAAAACAGACAAAACTTTAACCAAGACGATGCCTAAAAGGAGCCTTCTGAGGCTGAAAAGGTCATGATTCTACGTTTCGTGTCTACATTGAGTTTAACAGAAAATCCAAAAATCCAAATGATTTTCAAAGTGTATAGATCAAATACATACAGAGACTCCTTCTTTTATGAGAGAAATAAAATGCAGGGACAGCATGCTAATGCAAATTTCTATGGTTTTATTAAACCATAGGTAGCAGATTATCCAGAGCAGCAGCAAAATACATTATTCAGCATGCTGAAAACCCTTTCCCTCTTTGCAAATATTCTGAGCAAAAACTCCAGCAATCAGGATATCCAGCAACCAAATATCTAATTTCAAAAAGTGTTTCGATTAGCTGTGCGGTCGTAATTCAACGTCAGCGAGTTCCACGAGCTACAGAGCTCTCTGAAACACACTGCAATAAATCAGTCTGTGGTTACATCAATATGGAAGGCAAGATCAGGCATACTGCATGTCAAACTGCAAAACTCAGAAGAGGTGTGAAGAGCAGCTGAGGCAATCATAAAGTCAAACAGGTGAACGAATGAGCGAAACAACGAGCATGAAAGAGGAAGACAAAGCAAAAGAGAGACAGGTGAAGCGGCTACAACATGATCCTTTAGAGATGTTAGGAAATCAATAGAAGAAGAAGAATCTAACTGTATTATAAGTCTTTGTACTTACTCAGTTGATGTGGTGATGGTGATGCTGCCAGTCCCTCCCTCTCTATAAACTACATGCTGCGTGCAGACAGACCGCACTATGTCCCATCACCTTACCTCACTACAACCTGCACTGGAGCAGACACCGGCAACACCTTCTTTTTCTATTCTTACCTCATCACATCACAACACAACAACGAGTGCAGCTTTTGCGTCACCTGATCAAACCGCCTCTTTAAATTTACATCACATTCTTACTCATTTCCATTACAGTCCAATTCATCGGAGGAGAAACTGAAGAAACTGCTGTTATTATCATGCACTCCCTGAAGATTTCTCCTCCGGTCTCAAAGCCTCGCGTCCTACATATAACACATACATCCATACTGCTTATTGTATCCTGCTGCAGAAATGAGTCATACTCCACTGCTCCTACATAGACACCCCACCCCTATCACAGACAAGAAACTATCTGCTCTGTTTGTGAATTTTACTCCTTCTGCATTAAACACTTTGTCATATCAGCAATGGGAGCAGGAGGAGGCGGGGTGCCTGTTGTGCGTGCAGGGAGAAGGTAATGATTGAAAAGAAACCAAAAAGGTGCTCGTGTGAACACTGAACCCACACATCACATCGCCCGAGGCCTTCAAAATGAGAGTCATGAATATTTTAAACCGTGCAATATTCTCTGGAAATCTGGAGATTGTCATTAAGCCTCGCGATCTGGATAACTAATGTCCCCTTCAGAAGAAGATGTCTGCTCAGCCCTTTCCCCCCCCTTCTTCTTCTTCTTTTTCTCACGCCTCTCAGTTACACTGTTCCTCATTCCTGTTCTGTAAATGAAATCGAGGTATTTTATTTATTTATTTTACAGACCCTTATGCTTGCAGATTATTCACACCTATAAGAAAGGAACATGATGCCTTTACCCCTTAAAACCCTCTAAGTAAATGTAATGTGGAGATTAATGAAGAAGTGGATAATGAACTGCTTCGCTACTTTACCAAATTTTTGCTGCTTCTAGTCTCTCAAATTAAGAAGATGCTGCTTATTTGTATCATAAAAGATAGTAAACGAGCTGTGGGTGAAGGCGAAGCTGTCGATTCACTGGTAACAAAAGTTTGTACAGTCATCTACATCTGTGGGCTGTGGGTAGTGACCAAAAGAACAAGACTGTGG